TATATAGAAGTCAAAATTATCTCAAGTAGCCGGCCTCATCTGTTGTTCCATTTCACTCATTTTTTTAACCAAACGTTTTCACCTGGTTATTTTTTTCTTTCAGTTTTTCGTTCTTCACACGTTGACCAGCAGAGCAAATTTTCTTTTGTACAGTTTCACTTTTTGATTTTAGATTTTAGAAAAATAATCAAAAAACTCACCTTTTTCTTGTATTGTTTTGAAACAAAAAAAACTTTTTTTTCCTTTTGCTATATTAACAAACTTTTTTTCCTTTTTGCTTATAATATATTTTGTTACAAAGTTACGATTTTTCATCAACATACATTAATTATGTCCAAGTTCAGTTACTGAAAAAATTTTCTTGAATTAAATGTCAATGAAACTGCAATTGTTTATTGTCTGAATTTAAATTATAGTTTAGATGCAAAAAGAAAAAAGAAAGAATGTAATTTATAATGGTATATTTCAACTGTATTGTCTGATTGCTGTTGGGTTTTTTTAACCTAGAAAATACTTTTATGCGTAACAGTAATAATTGAAAATTTTTTTAGAAACTAAAATTTTAGATTATCTGATCAAAAATTGTTTAATATACGTGAACTATGGCACTTCACCGTAAATGGCCATTAACAGTCACGTTTTTGATGTTCATTACCGTAAGGATTATTGGACGACCCTGTGACCTGTCGTCCTCAGATTTACTGCTGATAATTCAGTCCAGTTTTGATATCGACAAATATGATTTTGAAGATATAAAAGCATTTGCCAGTTCTTTTATGGATGACTTAAGTATCGGAGCTGCAGAAAAGGCTGGTCTATTATCCTATTGTAAAAAAAAAAACCATCCTTTCTCCGTACACCAATGTATCAATGCATGTTTCACTGAACAGGCATAAATAGTAGTAAATTTTTAAAATCAGTTTTTTTTTAAATATTTCTTCTTCTTGAGAAATTCTTGAATCTTACAGGATACACGAGTTGGAGTTATTCTGTTTGACAAAATTAGAGAACCGGTATACCATATTAAATTGAATCAGTTACGAAAAACGTCAAAATTACAAAAAGCTATACACTCAATTCAACGACTTCCATGCGGCTACTGGTGGTGTAGGGTTAAACCTGAACAAACTGTTATGCAGGTATTCAAAAACTTAAAACTTTCTTACTTTCAAAGTTTTATTTACTTAGGAATACTTTCCTTAAAGGAAATAAAAAAAGCCGGAAAACTTGTTCTTTCACACAATTTATGCTGCAAAGGTAGACTTGAATGCTAAGCACTCATTCTGTTTACTGCTCTTAGAAGCTTGTAAAAGCCAAAAATGTACAATGTCGACTGTTTATGCAATCAAAAAGTTTTCGTTTATTTAGGCTGTAGATTTGGCGATGAATATTTTTGACAAAGAAAGTAAACCGGACCGAATGAAGAAACTGATAGTAGTTCTTCACGGCAAGCAGCTACTGCCAACAATTAGGGATATTACAGCAATTGGTTTCAGAGATCCATTACTTCGAATCGCTCAAATACTCGTCGTTCCAGGCCTGTTTTTTTTATCTGCTACATCCCATCAGGCGTTAATGCTGCATAAAACTTTTTTATTTGCTATTAAAGATTTCTAGTAATTAAGTAGATTTACGGTTATTCCTTTATAATTTAGATGAGTAAACACTAATTTCTCTAAAAATGATATGAATTATGTTTTGCTTCAAAAGGCAGTAATTCTGTAATTGCAAAAAAACCTATATAATTCATGGAGAAATTAGCCAAGGAAGAATAATGCAAAAAATTGTTTTGTACAAAAAATTTGAAATTTACTTAATAAACCCACTTCTTTCTTCTAAACACATTGATAACTACTATAAGACTGCTAAGCGATGACAATTTTGAATGTTTTAAAGCATTTTATTGGTAGAAAAATCCATATCAACTTGATATAGAGGAAATTTTCAAAACTGTTGATAAGACTTATGGTGGTGGAAAACTGCGGTTATTCTGTGCATTTTATTTGGATTTTTAGAGCAGAATGATTATAAATAACAGAAATTGAATTAATCACTTATGCTCGCAACTTTTCACGCATGAATTTAAGGATTTCTTTGCGAACACTTTTACTTTGCTTCCCAATAATTTCTCGGCGTTTAGCTATTTCTTCTTCAATTGTAATGTCTTGGTTCTCGTAAACGGTCATAAGCTCTTCTACTGCAGCTTTTGCTTCTGTGCTTAGTGTCGAATTTGTAATTGCCAAATTATACTGTTCCTTGAATTTTTCTAATTTTTTAGACACTTCACTATACAGTTCCTGAAATAACAACACAGACAATAAACTACAGCAAAGATGCAACGATAGTCATACAACGATAGTCTGATCAAAAATAATTAGCTGTTACTAAGAGCTTAGATATTTCATCTTTATTTTTTGAAAGAAATTAGCGGTAATTATAGAAAACCTTAATTTCTGAAGACTGCTGTGAAGCCCATCCGCTGATCTGATCTACAAGCTGCTTTTTAGTCAGATTCTTGTTGTCAAAAATGGCTTTAAATGAAGCCAGTGCTGCTGGACTAATCTGCTTCAAAAATGATGGATGTCTTATTTGGTCAATAGGGCCCGGCGCAGTTGCTTGACGCTTTTTTCTCGGTTTTTCCGGTCGGAGTAAATCATGCACTTGGCGTCGTTCGCTTTCAGAAATAGAACTTATTAGCGCTTTTGCTCGTTCGTGAGCTGCTTGCATCGTCAAGCTTTCATTGCTGTGAATCTCTTGAAGACTTTTTGCAATGTTTTTCAAGTTATTAGAAAGTGTAGAAGCATTAATCTTTTGAAGAATCTTAGTGGCCATTGCCGACATATTCTTCTTGAAGTCATTGTATGCCTCCTGAAATTGCCCAGAAATTTGCTCTGGTATTGGTAAACACAGTTTTAGCTTTTTATTATTATTACTTACCAAAAAATCACCTCCTTGTGCTGAAGCCCAATCTTTCACCTTTTGGTCTAATTGCCCCCTGGTCAAGTTCGCATCATGCATGATCTGCTTGAGAGTATTTAGCTGATCCTGGGAGGCGTTTTTTGCAAATGGTGGAATATGATGAGGACCTCCCATAGGGCCTTAATACAAAAATTACTAATAAATAAGTAGACGACTTCTCGTTGTAGTTTCTCATAACATAAAAAGAAATCATCAATTGTTAATAAACAAATGCGAAATAGCTTCAAATTTGACAAAAAAGAATCAAAAAATTACAAACCGCCATTGAAAGAATGGCCACCAGGCCATGCTAAAACATTTGCGATGATCAGCAGAAGTGAGACGACTGCAAAAGATTTCATTTTTCAGATAGGTTGACGTTTAGATGAGAATATCAAGACTTAAATATCAATTTTTACAGCTCCAATTTTACATTCCAATTATAATTGCTGTCAAAAAGTGGAAAACCGGTACAGTATCTGCAGAAGATTAAAAATCAATATAAAAATTATCTTTTGCAACAGGATTTTTCTTTTTTTTTAAATGTTTTTATTCCATAGTGACTCGTCGTTTATTTTTGTTTTTTTATTGAGTAACAAATCGATTCATGGTTACGCAAATCATCATATAACTACTACCTCTTTCCTCATATTACATCATTTTGAAAATAGAGTTAATATTTTTTGAAAATTCGTTTTTATCCTTTATTTATTCTCCTTATCTTTTTTTGACTTAACCTTTGTGTGTTGTTGACTGTATTTCTGCAATGGCTTTGATACATATCTGTTATCCAAAGTTTAACTGCATTTACAGTCGTCCAACTAAAGCTTTGTTGGCATTTTAGAATGAGTCAGCAATTGTTACGTGATCAGATTTTAATTACATAAAGTCTGCATACTGAATTCTGAATCACTGAAATCTTTCCCAAAACTAGGTTGAATTTTTAAACCAACACGTCGAAGATAAATGGTTTATTGAAGATATTTCTTTGAAACGACCGGGTTATTGACTGTCAGGTAACGAAAACTTCAGCTAAAAACAAAAATATATTTGTTACTTTAAACTCTTTCACTTTATATAACCTCTAATGATAATTACCAGAAAGGTAGAATATAATAAAAAATTTCTGCACAGATGCTTGACTATTTCGTCGACTTTTAAATATTACCATCTGATAATCAGCTGGTGTATATATTACATACTCATTATGTTTCTCCTCCGTTATTTTATATTTAGATTTAACAAAAAACGTGGTACGCAGAAATCAAAAAATCTGGTAAGAATTCTCTCCTTTTATTCTGTTCAAACTCAACTTTTTTTAGTTTGTCCAACTAAACGGAGCTCAAACTAAATCTACAGTTTAAGCAAATTTTTAAAGCATAACTTTACACAATTTATTCAAAACTAATTTATTTTATTATAGTTTGAGAAATTTATAACAATTATCTCTAAATGAACAAGTTTGATTTATTACAAGCAAAAGTTTAGCAAAAGTCATAAATTTCAAATATATGACAGTAACTAACTAAACCTTTGTTCAACATCAATCAATCAAGTAAGGGAAAGAGAGATCGGTTATGTAATACTTTCAGTAATTTCAAAAATTATATCAAAAATTTTACAGTTTTATCCCGGTGTGGCTAATATTATTTTAAAATTTCAACTCAAACAAGCCAACCGATAATTATTCCAGATCAACATCATCAGAGTCAGGCAAGTATTTCGTGACCTTCATTGCTGAATAAAACTTGACGTGGTATACAGACTTGCAGTTCTGATGTCTGGACACCGCTTTGAAGGACTTGGTTAGATAGGGCAACTGGTGCTTACTGCGTTTCACTGAGTGTGCCGACTGCAGGGACTGTGAATTCTTCAGAGGTAGTTGATGGCGTAGCCGTTGACGCCACCTCAAGCGTAGGTGTAATGGTTTCAAAAAAAGCCGGCGTTATCAAGGTCGATACAGCACCTCCTTGAGCGTTAACAAGAAGTGCCTGAGGGTTAACTGCTACTGTTGTTGTCTCGTTTACACCACTTTCACTTGCGTTCTTCGATACTACTTGGTTTTGTTGATTCGTAGAACCTGCATTTTGAAAAGAGTCGAAAGCTTGTTCTGCAGTTTCATCGTTTTCTTCACTTGCTTTCTGAAAATCACTCAAGTTTTGGCCAACATCTGAATTACTGTTGTTCAAGATACATGGTAGATGGACTACTGTTCGGTCACTATACGGTGATGAATTTGATAAATAGCCGACTTCTTGTGACGATTGAATGATTAACGAAATATCTGTTTCAGTTCCATTTGGAGACTGCAAAACTGATTGTTGCAAACCGGAAGCATTAGTGTTTGCATCACACGGCCCTCTTCTGGACGCAAATGATAGATTTTTGTTACCTTTCCGCTCCGAAACTTTCGACAAATCCTGTCCTGTAAAAGTGCCTTGATCAACAAAGTGTGTGATAAATTTTATTTGATTGCGAATTTATGAAACTGATGCAGTTGCAGTGCCCACATAATTTATTATTCATCGATTCTTCAATTGCAAAGACTAACACATACGTCTAGTATCTTGTAGAAACTGCGTCAGTTCAGCTTGTGCAGTAGCACTGAGGTCGTTTATTAATGCAGATGATAGCCGTCTTTCGTCATTCAACGAGATACCTTTATTATGCTCAATCTCAAAAAGTTTTCGTAAACCTTCTTTAGCTTCGTCGCTGATTTGGGCATTGTTAACGACGTCTACCAGCAGATTCGAGGCAGTCTGTGCATCTTTCTTAAATTCATTATAGTCGGCCTGAAATGAAACCGTAGTCTTCCTGCTACTGTTACCCGCGCTGGTGTTCGTTGATTCTGCGCAATGGTAGGAAAAATAAAATGTTTTTTTTTGTAAAATTTTGGGAGAAATAGCTCAGTATCTATACACCTGGTTACTTCTCTTTTTTTAATTTTTTTTATTGTGGTTCTACTCTTTAAACAAAAAATTTAAAAATTATACACTTATACACAAAAAATTATACACAAAATTTAAGAATTATACACAGGAATACACTTGAAAAAATAGTATTTAAGAGTGATTACTTGAACGGCGCCTCCCTGACTTGCTGCCCATGTGTCTATCATCAACTCGATATCGTTTTTCAACGTGTTCTCATTAGCTTTGATCATCTTTCTAAAACTGTTCTGCTGTTCTGCAGTCGCATTCTTCAGAAACGGTGCTCTGAACAGCTGGTGCTCGTTCAGTGGAGCGTTTACTGAAAACGGCAAATGACTGTAAAAAGTCAAACGATTTTATCTTTAACACTTATTAACGAAGAAAAAAAAAA